ATTGAATTTTTTTTTATCATACGGTTACGGATATTCTCTCTCTGCATATATTTAAACTGTATAAATTTTTTGAAACAATTATATTTTATATCTGTAGTGTTATCAAGTTTGTTTTATAATATTCGATTAAATTTATTGGATAAAAGAAAATTAACTGTTGCCGAAATTATGTGTACAATTATGTACATATAAATAAGTGTTTGTGTATAATAAGTAGAATCTAAAAAAAAAAAAAAAAATAAATAAATAAATAAATAAATAAAACTAAAACAATTACAATTGAATTTTGATTTCCTATAATTGAATGGTAAAAGTCTTTGGTATTAAGCCGTATATTTTATTTACCGATAATATTTATGTTATTTTATGGAAAATGAAAAATATTAGTTGAAGAAGAAAAATAATCGAGCTTGTACAAAAGGAATTGATGAAGCGCCAGAGAAAGAGAAAAGTTTAGTCAGCTCAAGCGCAAAAGTTACCTAATTGCTCCTTACTGTCCCGACAGAAAGTGAGACCTGAGTTGGATAACGCGCCTTCCGCGAGATCTTTATATTGGAATGTGGGCCAACTACTGATGGCGTTGTTACTGTTGTTGCTTGTCCCTCATTAACGTAAATCACTGCTGCTCTCATGAGATCCGTGCACAAAAGGAAAAAGATAAAGAGGCAAAAACGAGCTGGCGGTGTGAGATTAAAAACAACAAAAAGAATACTGAAGACTACCTCGGCCAGACTCTTTGGCGGACGCTGCTGTTGAGATGCTATGCTATATCCTTTTATTTGACCGGCAATGAAGCAAGAGGAATGTCGCCATAAAATCAACCAACAGTATACCAGTCGATTTTTCGCTTTGGTTCCAGCTTGTTCTCAATTCAACTTTATAAGTATTCGATAATTTGTCGTGGCGAACTGTACATCATGAAATTTCAATAAACTCATCGAACTGTTACTTTTATTAGAATGGCTGGGATAATATTTAAAATTATGAACGGTATATTAAGGATATTGGCGGTCATGTACTTTAAAAGAATTATAATAATAAAGTGCTTTGTTAATGAAATTGAATAAAATTGTAGAAAAAAATTGAATTTAAAATGTAATATAAAATTTGAACTCCTATAGGATAAAGTAAAAAATTTTTTATCACTATATAATTAATTTCTACAATGATTTTTTTACACTCGTATATTTACAATCATTAAAAATTAAATTATATGCCTTAATTATTTGAGAAAATTAGCAATTTTTCAAAGTTAATGTTTATGCGCTATTATTTCAACTAAGATGAAAATCAAATACCATAATAATTATAATAACATAATGAAATAATATTTTAGTTTAACTAGTAGTTAGCATAATTTATTATTAGTAAAAGTAATAATTGGATTTTTACCAACTCATATATAGCATCAATATTGTTTAAAAAAATATTTAATAAATTCAAACATCTATTGTTATATCTAATCCACTGAATAATATTTATAAATAAGCAAATATTTTGTTTAAAAAATCGAATTGTATTAATTATAAATTGTATGAGCAGAGTATATACTGTCAATATTTATAAATATTCATTGCGATTGAAAGTTAATTGACTAGTTTATAAATAAAAAATAGGTCAGTAAAAAAAATGACCAGTTCGAAATGAATCAAATGAATAATAATACACGTTTCATCTATAATTTTCATGTAAATTTAGAGAAGAATTCGCTTAAAAGAAATAAAAACGGTATTCATCCATACATTTTGAAATTAATCTCTTCTAATGCGCCGAAAATCAAGTTTTTTAAAATAAGTTTGTGTAGTCTGATGTTCGGATGCCAATTATCAAAATGAGTCATTCGACTTTGTACCGTTCAATATTTTCATATGATACGGCACGACCCACGGAATTCAGACGTCTTCCATTCCGTTCCATTCATAAATCTCGTAAGATCCAAATTTCGGCCAACATCTAGACAGACTCATATATATAAATATATATGTATAGTTTTTACGAGAAAAAAAAAATGAAATCGTTCGATGCTTAAGTTTCTTCCTTTAAATTTCATATAGCAAAACATACGATTTTATTTGTGCATATGCATGTGTGTGAATCAAAGATGAAGAAAGAGAGATTTAAGGAGGAAGAAGAAAGTTATAACAGACACTTTGGAATTTAGGATTATCGCTTGAACCTTTAAGAAAAACAGAAAAGGCGGCTCCAAAAAGCAGTAAGAAGAAAAGGAGTTTCGAGTTCACTGAAATTTCATTATGACACTACTTACCTTATTCTTTTGACATTCGTCGTAAAATTATTGATAATATTAGCAACATCATCAATAACAAAAATTTATAGATAACAATTTAATATATGAAATAAAATTTTTTTTATTATTATTTCATTCCAAGCATTACGATAACAATAGTATTTATATGTTATATTCATTTTTCACTATTTGAAATTATAGATAAAATGATTTAGGAATAGTTAATTTATAAAAATATTAATTTAATACTTTATAAAACATGTAATAATTGAAATTATAGATATATATATATATATATATATATATATATATAATATCAATTTAATATATTTTTATACCCAAGACATAAAAACATACAATGATAGCCATAAAACTAATAAAGATAATAATCACATAAAAATATCAATGGGAAATACGAAATTGTAAAAAATAGTATGAATAAATATAGTGAACATTGTAAGAGTGAAATTTACGTGTGATATGAATATATAAACCGTATAAAAAAAATTTTCGAGTTGAAGGACTGCACATCAAGATAAGAAGAAACGTGTAATTGAATATATATATATATATATATATACATATATAATTTCTTAACAAGAAAATGCACATTTTCATATTGTTAAATATTTTCGTCATAATTACCTTTGAATAGATTGTTGTGCTAAATCCCTTTTTTCTAGTACTATTACACATTTCAGTATATATTTGTGAGAAATTTTCTAGTTATAAGAATTAATATATGTAAAAAATAGCTTTTCTTATTTTAGTCAAGGATTTATTAATTATTCTTATGAATTACTTTAATACTTATATCAATAAATAAAATATTTAATGAGCATCAGAATTGAAAAATTTAAGAATTATAAAATTAATTCTTATTTAACATAGGTAGTAAAGTATTAGATCATTAAAAAGACGATTTTTAAGGAACTATTAAAAATATTTAATTGATATTTATTTTTTTTAATTCTTAAGTTTTGTACTATAAATGTAGTATAAATAATAATAAGTTATATTTTTTATCGATTGTTATAATTGATGAATTAAAAAAAAATTAATAATAATAATTTATACAGTTAATTATATTTATAGAAAAAGTCCCATAAATAATTAAATACAATTTATATATTATCTGAATGCCTTCTTATAATAATATCTTGGCAAATAAAGTATAATTTTTTCTCAAACTTCTTAACTATGTTTTAATAAATAATGGTCCTAATGATATTATGTTATATAGAATTTATTATTGAGATAGATATTTTTAAATAATTATTCAATATTTTATATATATATATATAGAAAAATGATATGAAGCATGAGAAAATAATCGACAACTTCTTATGCATCGATCGTAAAAACACTTTCATACGAAGCTAAGTGCATAAATTCACACGAGTAAATAAAATGTGTACTCAAGTGTATACAGTTTTACTCTTTGTGTATGTTGAAACGGCGTGTATATTATAGCTATTGAAAATGATGTGTGAAGAATTTAGATTTCGAAAATGTACAGCATTTTTGTAGTCATAAAATTTTTAACTTTTCTTTATGTAACAAGTTAATTTAAAATAAATAATAATTTTCTGACTTCCCATTGCATTTATTGTATTAGATATTATAAGTATTTGAATAAAAGATTTTTCTAAGCAAATATTTAATTATTTAATATTTAGTATAAATGATTTTTATTTATTTTGTTAATAATTAGGATGAATTGTACTTTAAAAATGTCGAACTCAAAGATTTTTACTATTATAGAAGGTTTGAGAATTAATTTATTGGTAAATTGATTTTTTATAATAATTAAGCATAATAATAAGTATCTAATATTTTTTAAAAAATATTAGGTATAAATAAAACGTAAGTATTTTGTTTGAAAAATATAATTATTTAAAAAGTGTTATTTGTAGTTCAATATAAAATGTTTTCTACTGTCATAAATTTACTAAAAAAGTTTATATGGAGTACTATAGATTTTTAAATTATCATTTTTTTTAACTATTAAAATATAAGATTTTAACGTTGATAGTATATACTTTTGATTATGATATTATAAAGCGTTGATATTATAATAGTTAGTTCATGTAAATTATTAAAAATTTTCATATATATATATATATATATATATATATATATATATCTAGGTTAAATTAAAAAAAAAAACTTGTTGAAATTTAAAAAGTTCGGAATAATTTTAATTCATGATATTTCAATTGAAAGAAACGTAACAATAGCCGAACAAAACTGAAAATATTTCTCAACTGCTCTTGGTAAAGCGATGTTAGACTAGCAAGTAATAGATTCTTTAAAGGAAGTCTTTAAGCGAACGACGCTGCTCTTCTTCACAAGTCCCATCCTTGATAATCTCATCATTGCGTCTCTTTTTAAGAGAGAAGAGAAGCGCTTGCGCGAAGAGAATAAAAAGAGAAGAGGATCTTGTGGCTTGCGCGTGAAAGAAGCAAAAGGTGAACGAAGAGAGAAAGAAAGTAAGGAAAGAAAGAAGAAGCGCTGTGCTTCTTGTGTACACACCACTATGGGTGGGCACATATCCAACCGGGCAGCGGATGACCAGCGCTCCGGTATGGCGACACGAAGAGGATATGCACACACATGCGTGACCGTGTGTATGCGAACTCACTTGGATGTCCGAGAGAACCAATAAGCAGTTGGACGAATGGTGGGGGCCATCAAAATTTCAAAAACGTACTCGGGCCCCTTTCGCGCTTGGGGATAAAAGCCAGCATCGTGATTCTTTCGGTCAGTACTGATACGATCATCGTCGTCGTTCGAATATCTTGAGTCGAAGAGTCGCTCTCGAGGAGACGATAAAAATAATAAAAAAAAAAAAAAGAGGGATTAAAGTTCGGGTGTACCTTCGAGGTCGGATATATAAATTTGGTGAAGTTTTCCGTAGCCGAACGGTGCGAGACTGCAAGTGTCAAGAGACGAACAGAAGATGCTGAAATACGCCGTAGTTTTCGCCCTAGTAGCGACCAGCGCCCTTGCGGCACCAGCTCAGGAGCAACAGCAGCCCTCCCTTATCGAGCAGGCATACAATATATATAGCTCCTGTACAGCCGAACAGGATATTGCTGTATGTTTGAAGCTTAAGGCGCTCGGATTCGTCGACAGAGCTGCCAGATCGGCCGAGATCGATGTTATTGATGGATTCAAAATTGTACAGAACGAGGAGTCAAAGAGCAACAGGTGAGACTACGATGCTTCATTTTTCAAATGCACGGACAATCCGAGTGCTTTTTCAAGTGGCTGGAGTAAGAAGGGAAAATAAAAATCTTAAAAGAAACGCGCAGATTTTAATTTTTAAGTCATACCCAATTGAATTACCTGCCTCTTTATCACATTAGGCTATAATAAATTGAGTACCACTTTATTAAGCATTTATTTTCATATGTTTACAGTTGAATTTTAACAATAATTTGGGATAATAATAATAATAATAATAATAATAATAACAATTTTAAGGATAATTATCAAATTGAAATAAACATTTGAAATATAATTACAATTATGAATTTAATTGAACTTATTTTGTATAGTCTTGTACAATTATTTTGCATCTGACAATTTAAAATACAATCTGAAAGCAATATTCAATGAATAAGAATTACAAATAATTTAAACAATTATAATATTTAATTAATCGATAATGAATTAATAATGAAATTACATTATAGTATTTACTAATTTAGTAAAACGATCCAATGTATGATAAATTACATTGTAGAGAATAATTTATAATAACGTGAAATAATGATTGGTGTGATATTTCATATGTAATAGATAAAAATAACGAAGTTTATTTCGTTTTATTGTTTAAGTAAACGGATAATTGCACACGCGCGCGCACGCCCACGCGCACACACGAACATCCACACATACGCACGCACGCACAAACACACACACACAAAAACACCCACACGCAACCACAAAAACATCCATGCGCGCGCGCGCATACACGTATAAGCATGCCTATTACAGATGTATTACAGTATCGAATACATATTAAATATATATATATATATATATATATATATATATGAAAATAAAGATTGAAATATATTTTTTGACATTTCAGCCGCGCAGACAATGCAAGGTCGCTGAATGACATTGAGGCGTCTCTGCCCAGTGAAACTGAAGCTAGAGAAGCTGCGGTGGATGAAGCTCTCCTCGACAGAACCGCCAAGTTCCTGTCAACTCACACGGTTGAGCTCAGCGTGCCCGAGGAAGTCTCCCGCTCCTTCGATGAAGGTATATTCTATTGTTTCAATGAATCATATGCGATCTTAAATCAATTATTAAAACATTTTTTAATTTAAGCCGCTTTTTACGAATTCGGCTTTATAAAAGAAAAGAAAAACTGAAACCCTTGAGTTAAATAATAATTATTATTAAAATAATAATATACAAAACAGTAAAAAATATTACATATATATATATATATATATATATATATATAATATAATAATAAATTGATTAGCTATCGAATAAGTTGCGAAGCATATTTAATGTTTCTTCTTTTTTCCTCTATTTTTAGCTCGTGGCAAGAAGAAGAAGATCGTCAAGTCTCTTTTACCTATTCTGCTGCTCTTGAAATTGAAAGCCGCGGCACTTATTCCAATTGCGCTCGGTGGTCTAGCTCTCCTTGCCTTCAAGGCCCTCGTCATTGGTAAAATTGCTCTTATTATCAGCGCCGTAATTGCTCTGCAGAAGCTCCTTGGTAATAAGCACCAGAGTTATGAGGTTGTCGCCCACGAGGTTCCCCACCACCACGAGGAACATCATGGTGGTGGATGGGCACGATCACTTGAGCTTGCCTACAATGCCCACAAGCCTACTACCAATTAAAAAGAAATTGATCATCACTGTCCTGCAGAATGTACCTAATTCTACCTTTTACACCTTTATCTCGTATTTCGTTCGGGGCGTTCATTGAGGTTCTGTGCAATAACGTGTGATCAGGCCAGGTTTCAGACAAACTCAAAATTTGAAATTCTCATTGACACTCACTCGACAATTGACAGGAAAATTTATAAGACATTGACCGATGATACGGACTGGAAAAACGTCGACAACAACGACAGCAATAATTAGAGATAGAAAAATAATTTAAATGATGATGACGACGATAAAGCTTTGACAATAACGTTGATTTGCCACGGAACTGATACTTTTAATTCTAGATGACTTTTTTCTAGGATTGATATGACAGATATATTGTTATTATTTTTCAAGACATGACAATTTTCGTCATTTTTTTTATTTTCATTACTTTTTTTTTTTTTTTTTTTGTTACTTACTAATGACATACCATAAATGAAGTTGATAAGATATATTTCACTGGCTACCATATGACTGTTAACGGACTATTTGAGGATAAACAAAACGTACGCTTAAATGGAAAGCTTAAATATTACGAAATAAGTGTACGTTCTGATAAAATTTATTTAATATCGACAAACAGAATTATCCAACTTTCTGAACCATGCATCATTCAAGGAATAAACGGATAACAATATTTATATGGAGACGAAACTAAAGTGATCACACGCTTAATGCCTCACATCATCCCTCCGGGACCATTGAAATCATTCCATGTTGGACATGACATTTTTTATTGGTCCTTAGTCAGCATTCATACGCAAATATGCGCCATAGAGATTATTTGTGTACAATAATTATTTATATTTAAACCGAATTTGAAAAAATCGGATCACCGTTGTAACTTATGTTTTATTTATAAATAAATCTTAATACGTTTTTATTATAAATGATTTGTATTTTTTACCCTTGTATTTCTTAAAATATTATATATCTCGCAATTAAAGAACGGAAACAAATCATATAGAATTCTATTAATTTAAATTATATAAATACATAACAACTTTATTGCTCTTCCTTTTTATTTTATTAAATTTATTAAAAAAATTTTATTAAAAATTTCATTTTTATCAAATCTTTGATAACAAAAATAATATTCGTATTATTTTTAAATAATCAATACACTTGTACTACAAAAGTAGAAGAAAGTACTACATTCGCATATTTATATAAAAATTGAAGTAATAATAACTCAATGTTATTAATGAATTAACTTAATTTGAATATATAAAGGAAAATTAAGTGACGCATAAAATGAAAATCTGAGGTTGAAACACTAAATTTATCAACTTTAAATTTATATTTATACTATATCTATACTTGTAATCTATAATAACGAATTTATTTATAAATTTGGAAAACGATGATACTTTTTAAATTTTAATGTTATGCAAGTACTCAGCTCAAAAAATTCAAGTTTTAACAAATGTTTCGCAATTTTTTGACATTAATTCAATTTTATACATTTTAGTAGAATATTTTTTTTGTTTTGATTAAATTTTAATTTAATGGGCCTCAAATTCATTGTATTTATTTTTATTCTTAATCTACTTGGAGCAACGAATATCCAATGAATTAATTAATCCTTTTACAAATTCACAGTATTGCATTTAAGAATTGAATTATAAATACTTAACAACAATTAAAAAATACATTACAGAACGTGAAACCTTCTTTTTTATTATAAAATAAATTCAAAATAATTCAAAAGCAACAGACAATAAGTTTCCTTTTCCATCTTACGTATTCATCATTTATGTTAGATTTTACTATATACACAGTCTACACTTTTTTTCTTAAAATTGTATTTCATATACATAAATGTATATTCTATTGTTAGTAATTAGCATCCGATCTGATTGTGTATCCGGCGTATTTTCCCACATAAGTAGGGTCATCAGATCATCAGTGATAACTTTGTGAAAAGAAAATGAAGATAAAAGAAACAAAAGACAAGGTGAGGCTTTACTTTCACTAGATGCTCCACTAAGTATAACCAATTATTATTTCCTCGTGTGAAAAAGCCCTGCGAGTTTATATATGTAAGCGTCTTTCGTTGGAGGTAGAGCAGTTTCACTTTAGATTTTGTAGCCGCAGAATTTCTACAAAATTTCTTACTAGTGTGGTGAATATTTTTTATTCATTATAAAAGTAACTGGATAATATTATCAATAAAGCAAACAAAAGTTTACATTAATCGTGCAATTCATTACAGATAATGACATTTTCAATTGAATGAAAAATAATGAAATATACATACTACATTACAAAATAAAACGAAAAATAAATATTAAAGATAAAATTAAGAAAATATAAAAAATTAAGAAGATATAAAAAATTAAATAATATTAAGCAGTTTTTATATTCACTCGATAATAGTTATAGCAGTTCTATAAAATAGTGCAGTGAAGTAAATAATAAATTTTTCTCTAATATAAATGAATGAATGAAAAAAAAAAAAATTAAATTACCGTGCATTAAAAAATGTGTATAAATTCAACATAAATTTAAACATATTTATTTGAAAATATATAATCAGTATGAAGTTATCCACACAATATAATAGATAAAAATATTATATAAATCCATTTCAGCAGAATTTGACATTAAATGAAAATTAATTTCGAATGATCGTAGTGATTTTAAAGTACTGCAAATATTTTGTAAAAACCCATTCGTTACGTGCATTTAATTCAAAAATATTTTTATGCACTTCATAATTTCTATTATTAATAATAAACGTATTCTTCATATGCCTTCAATAAGAAGTGATATGAAAAATTTTGTCATTAGGTTTTATTTCTTAATGTTGATGTCTAACAATGTTTTGACAATCATGATGGAACCAAATTCAAATAACGATAATCAGCGTAAAGCATCTCACGTTGTACAATTCGACGATCCAAGTTCATTTAACGAAGCTTTACAAAGCTGCTTAGCAGAACGAAACTACGGTACCATTGAATGTTTTAATCGAGGTGCTTTGACAACTTTGCAATCATGGAATGATAACGATTGTCTGGATTTCGGGAATATAAAGCTGGAACGAAGCGATGCCGAAAGTCGCAATTTTCTCAATTTTGAGGAGGATTCAAGCAATATTGTAAATTTAATAAAAGCAACTTCAAAGCTATTAGAATCTAGAAATATTAAGTGGGATTTAGGAAATATATATCCGGGATTACAAATGCGAGTAGGTCCAACATTATCGGCTTCCAATGGATTACTTGAATTCGTAATGGATGAGAGAAGGAATCATTATGTGAATAATAGACAAATTGGCACTGGTGAGTTATATTACTTTGACTGATAAAAATCTTTCATCAAAATTACATAATAACGAGAAACGTAATTTATTAATGTTTGTTTAATAAATCCAACTGAAATAGTAATTTTATAATCAGGATAAAAATGTATAATATATATATATAATTTTTATATACAAGTTGAAAAATCTTATCTGATTTATGAAGAATGAACTTATAGTTATGAAATATTAATGAAATATATTTTTTGAGATTTTTTTTTTTTTTAATGTTATGCACTATCTTTACTTTGGGTTTAAAACTTTTCATTCTATTCTTTTCTCAATTTTCAACAATACTTAAATATTTCAGATTTTAGATAATTCAAAATTATATTCTATACAAGCATTGAAAACAACTTAACAATAATTATTTTAATGGTTAACAAATTTTGATTATATTTATTATTAAGATTAATTGTAATTATATTTTTTTAAAGTTTATAAATATTCATCTTTAAAATATTGAAAATTGAAAATAATTGAAAATCAAATTTATCGATACTTTATTTTCTCATTTATTAATTTTCCCATTGGATTTCAATTGGATTGGATTCATATTGGATTCATATTCATTCATTTTTAATTTAATGCTTTTATATAATTCATCGAACTTATTTACATATTTTATAAGCAATTTCTAATACAAATAATACTGCGATATTGATCCAGTTAAGTTACGTAATATGTCTAACTAAATTTTATAATGGACTAAATTTACATTTATTATGAAAAAATACAATATCTTTCTAAGACTATATTGTTTATGTATATCAATTAATAGATCAATATATTGAAGAAATAACTTTCTTATGTTTTTAGAAACTTATTATATTTTTACTTTACGTCCATGGCATTATTGAAATTGTCTTATTATTGTATAATTATTCTCATATTACATTTTTGATATTAATATATTTAATTATTATAATAATCATACTATACCATTATTAACAATTTTAACGTGAACTAAAGATGTAATTATTATTTACTATAAAATGGTAGACATCATCGATATTCATTAAAATTTTTTAATTAACAAATACATTAAATAATATGAAAAAATCTTGTGTTTAGTGTATTCTTTTCTGGTACTGAAAATTTTTAATACTCTAATATGGGCATGAATGAAAAGGTAATAAATGTTAGTATATTGATGGTATTACCTTTGTTACTATATTATATTTAAATTAATATAATGAATCTAAATATTATCATTTTGTTTTTATCGCAAGGTAAATAAATTAAATATAGATTACTAAGCAAAAATGATTTCAGTCTAATCTGATTACTTTAATCAAATTTGAATTATTATAAATTAGTAAATAAAAATTCCCTCTAGCCAACAATTTCATTAAGCATTGATAAATTCGTAATTTTCGTAATACAAATGATATATTTTCATTGATGAAATTAATTTATGAAATTCATCGCAAGAAAAGTATAAAACGTCATATCTTTTCACATTCTACAAAGCCTTTAGAATGAATGAAATAATCTCATAATTAAAAAGAAAATAATTATGTATATAATAATAGTTATCTATTATAATGGAATAAATGTAAATAGATCTGTCATATTTGTTAACGATGTGCTGACAATCATATTTTACATTTTGTAAATAACCAGAAAAACATGATAATAAAATAACATAGAGTAACAAAAAAATTACATGTTAATAAAATTTGATAATATTATATATTATAAAATCTTATAAATATTATTTAGATTCAAGACAAATAAACTGATTTGTTATAAAAAAATTTGCAAATAAAAATAAATAATACTAATATTTTATTTTCTATACTAAATGCAAATTATTTAATGCAAATTATTATATCGACATAAAATTGAAGTAGATGTTGTTATAATAACAATAGAACTTTCTGTTGTTAAATTCTACTACTACTGTACTCATCTATAATATTTGTTCCCAATAGTTTTGATTAATGTTAACAGTTATTCTTTTATAAGCACAAATTATCAAATGCATCTGTTCCTAATATTTATAAAAGTTATCGAATTTTGATTATTATTTTATTTTATATTTATGTTTTAACAGGCATATGTTCCACTATAAAAATATAATATTTTTCTATGTATTCATTTAATGTAGAATAATATACACCAATTCATATATACCTCTTCAAAATATTTTTCATAAGATATTTATAATTGAATTTCCATCGTGAATGGCGATGAATTTACTTATTTATTATCTCGGATTATTAAAAATCCGATATTTATCGTCTTTTGAATTGAATAGAGGATTGAAGAATATTTCTAGAAATTTATCCGTGTTTTAGAAAAATCTAATAATTTCAAGAAATATTCTTCAATCCTCTATTCAATTCAAAAGACGATAAATATCGGATTTTTAATAATTAACAATTTTTATTGAAAAATGATATTTAATCGTTAGTTTTGCAATAATCGGAATCTTTTTAGTAGTAATATAATAAAATACATGAATAAATAAATTATTCTATGTTGATAATCTCATTTCTAATACTCGTACGAAATTGTTGTCAAGCGTATATAATTGTTTAATTATTTGGTTAAGGATTAAGTACCATATTTTATTAGATGGGTTACTTATATCGAAATTTTTTAGTTGGCATAAGAAGATTGATTGATTGATTGTTTATCCATAATTTCATTGTATTATTCTTTACAATAACATAATATTAATTATATATGTGTGCATATAGTGAAAAATTGTACAAATCTTAAATTCACCCAATGTTATTGGACATTTACTTTTATAAAATCTTCCATCTTATCTTTTCTTTTTATAAAACTTTTAATTTGAACTGTTAATTTATTTTTACAACGAAACGATTGTTTTCTAGATAGCTCTTTCAACCACTAGAAATACATAATCATTGCATAATATTAAAACATAAATACACTTTAATTGACGCAATCATAAAATATAAATTTTGTTATAATTTATTAATTAATTAACACTCAGGTCATACAGGCTTTACTGGCTAATAATAATTTCATTATTATCCGTTGTAAAATCCATACGATTTAATAAATCTAACTAATCGTCTATAATTCCATCGATTCGTATGACGTTCTCCATTATGAAACATGAAAGAATAATCACCGCAGTTCAAGATCAATTCAAGGCGAAGCTCGTACGTACCGACGGCAGACAACCTTACCAACAAGTGTCAAGTTCAAGGCCGTAACAAGCGACCGCTTCACCGTTCTCTCGTGTGGCGGCGTCGAGCTCAAGGTCGAGTTCATGATCAAACGACACCGGGACTAACGTACTTGCTCTGCATTACCTTTTACAGGCAAGCTGCTCATGAGACAGTTGTTGCTCCCCTTCCTCCTCGGCTTTAAGCTCAACCTGACCACGCTACTGCCGTTGCTCTTCGGTGCGCTCATCATCATTACAAAGAAGGCCTTGCTGCTCACGAAGGTCGCTCTTTTCATAGCTGGATTGATTGGTTGGAATTCACTTTTTAACCGCTACCCTAGTTCATCGAACTACCAGCCTGATGGTTTCTAATTATATAATTATATTAATTATGTCGATATAATCTGCTATGTTCTTTCAAATTTCTCATGGATTAAACATTTTTTTTTTTTTTTTTTTTTTTTTTTTTTTTTTTTTAATTATCATAACAACATATTGAAATATCGATGCTTCGTTTGTGACTATCCCTAGAGAATAAAAAATACGAATTATTTAATTATTCGTATTAGGTAATTCATTTGTTTATTTATTTGTAACCTTGATGTTAAACTATCGAATATTGTTTAGCTACTTCATTTGATCAGTGGGAGAAAACATTTATCGCTCGTAATTCTTTTCATTATTTGCTTTGCTATATAACTTAGTAACATAACATATTATCATAATATATAAATGAAATACTATTAAACAACAGTGTTTAGTAAGAACAAAATTAATACATAAATAACATAATTTTATTTATTTATTTATTTAGATAAACGAAATTTATATAGTTTTTCACGTCAAAATCGATACTTTAATAACATGGAAAAACATGAAAATTATAATTAACCTTATATAAAGAATATTAAGATATTATTTACGGCCGAAACATCTATACATTTATTCATCTGTTTGTAGATATGTACATATACATATATTTTATTTATATATACATCGATATTTCAGTTACTTTGTTATAAATAACGTAAATATAAAATTTGAATAAAAATTATAATTTTAATACATATGTATATATAGTGTGATTATCAGCAATTAATACTCTCTTAAAGATTTAATTTAAAACCTTTTACCTTTTAAATTTTAACCATTAAAATCAATAAGAATAATTATCTATTATCAATTATATATTACACTTCATTAACTGCATTAATTAGTAGTTGCAATTGTTACTAAGAGATAACATTTATATTGCTTATAATGTTATAATGATATAATGTAAAGTGAATTAATAATTGTTATAAACATATATTTTTGTTAAAAAATTTATTAATACTCGAGAAAATTGCATCTATACATATGTACGTACAAATAGTTGCATTTACATAAATATTTAAATAATTTATAACTATGAACTGGCCGTTAACATACAATAGTTTATATATGCATAATCGAATGGAGCTACATTTACTATAAATAAATTTTTTGCACTTTATTCTTTATTCTATTGAAACGCAATTCATCAATAAAAGATTATTTTTTATATCGTAATTTATTTGTTGATCTATATTTTAATTTGAATTGAGTATGAATTAATATTAATTACAGATCATGATGGTATAAACTATGGATACACTCAAAATATTAATCTTCAGCCTGGCTTTGGAAATGATCTGGCAAGCAATTTGGGAACAATGTTACACAATCCAATACATCAATATAATCCATATAGAGTGGCATCAGGAAATCATTTTCCCATAAATCAACATATTACCCGTGAAGTTTTTAATGTGTATGAAACGAAAACAAATGATAAAAGTGAATCTTTTGAGAAGAATAATAAGGATTTTGTATGGTCAAGAAATGAATCATAAATTAATGTATGTTATTTAAATTATGCAAGACAGCTTCAGTTATCTATTTCCATTTCATCGCTGTATTTTATGATTAGAGATAAAGATATATACAGTAAATGAATTGTGACACTCGGAAAATTAAATTTAACTTTAAGAAACGAAAATTTGTAGTTTATTTAATATATAAAAATATCAATGTGATAAATTAATCATTTAGTAATAGTAAAATATCATATGAAGTATTCTATATAATTATCAAGAATTAGTTCGTATTTTAATTATTTAATTTTTACATACATAATAGATAAATATTATAGTTATATTTCATAGCATAATACATTCATGTTCATATATTTAAAGGATAATAATAAAATCTAAAACTTTAAATAATTTAATAATTCCTAAGCTTTAAATAGACATATGTAGTTAGTTATAAATATGCATTTAATTGAGATTATGTATGTACTCGGTAAGTAAGTATATATTTAATGTGAGGTAATGCTTACGTATTTAAAATAAATGTCTTCGGTATAGATTATAACAGCCAAATACCACTTGTATTTCTGAAATTAATATTAGATGCGTTATAATCTTGATGATCGATCCTGTGAATTTATTCGTTCTAATCCAAATCTACTAACAACCATCGTTTAAATATATGAGAAGTTGAAATTGCTTATCGAACTACTTAATAGATTGAATTCATTGATAATACTCCGAGATAATGTTATGTGTTAGTTCTGGAGTAGACCAATAATTTCGATATGCCAAAGAGGGAGGAAACGTGTTTCTTAGTAGATATTAATTCGAATTTAATAGAAAAAGAGCCTTTCGTAATACCTCATCAAGATTACCTATTCATTATTTTACCATTATTATTCCAGTTATTATGGTTATTCTTTGATCCAGCAGTACTTATTCTCTTAGTTATTATATATATATATATATATATATACCCATACAAATATTTTTTAAATTACATTATTTCATCCTTTAGAATTATAATTGTATTTAACTATTACTGACAATGCCGTAAATAAAAATTCTATTTATTAAATTGTTAAATTATTCTAGGAATTAAATATAACGAGCGATAAATAAAAAAAAATCAATTATTTGATGATGATAATTATTTTTAATATGTTTCTCTGTGTAGATAAAATAATAATTATTAAATAGATAATTGACAGTTATATACGTTAAATAAAAAATACTATTCGTTTATGCTCAATAAAAATATAGAAAGTATATGTAAATTATGTTAAATGGTACTGTGTACCTGAAAAATATAATTATACTAAGTATTGTAAACCAGTGTTTGAAAAATGAATAATTCGATAAATCATCTGCATAATTTTGTTTCTATATTAATATATTTTCTATTTTTATATTGATACTTTAATTCCAATTAATTTTTTGTTCTCCCTGCGTTTACTCTTATACGTTATATTATCTTATAAATCTTATAATTATTCAATAAATCTTATTTTTTTGTTTATTTATTTTGTCATTTATAATACGTATAATTTATAGATTTCATTAAATGCTTTGATTTTGTTTGAAAAATTTTACAAATGTGTGTTTTGAAGTTTATAATAAAATAAAATGATAAATTAAAATAAATGTATATATATATATATATATATAAGATTCATCTTTCAAGGACTCGAACAGCAATTGACCTTTCAAGAGTCAATTATCCACTTTGTGATTCCCAGTCTGTTATTGTAGGACATAGGTATTTACGAATTAGACTATACTATTCCAGTTACATTAAGTTCAGTATTGAACCACTTTTTATGTACACCTAAAATATAAACAAAAATTTTTTCTTTATTTTATTTATTAGTGAAACATTTTCTAAATATTTTAATTAAATTAATTATTATAATCTTTAATCATTATATGAACTATTTGCGTATTGTGAAATATTTTTCATACTTCAAAGATATAATTAGAATACGATACAACTTTTAATTTCATTTGCAATAATATAATTTACTAGAACTTCTATTTTGAAATTGATAAAATCTATTAAATATAAAAATTCGAAAAAATATATGGTTGTTACATATTTATGCCAAATATTTATAATTACGCAGTTAATCGAAATAAGGGCATTGTATGTTTAAGACGTAAGTGTGTCTACACGAATGAAATTTATATTTCTTAATATTTTTCAATTCTCATCAATACTTTCTATTTATGATACTCGATAGTTTATTTTATTAAAATGTAAAATAAAAAATAAGTTGATTTGATTGTAATGTATGCAAAATTTGTAATTAATACAATGCCTAATTTTAATCTATTCGAACATTTAATATTCATAAGTTAAGTTCATTCTAACGGTTTTGAAAATGTTACAAATTAACAATTTTTTTTATCATCTTTATAAGATAAGAAGATAATTAATTACAATCTAACAAACAAAGTAAGTAGTGCAGTAAAAGTAACTCAACTTGTGTATCATTAACATCCTTTCTCACTTCTAATTGCTTCGAATAAGTAGAATAATATGAATACACTTTTCATGTCTAGAAAAGTTTAACATAAAAACTTATATAAAACGGCGAAACTTTGTGTCATTAGTAAGAATATTAAAAAAGCTGCATTATTAAAAGATTTGGTATATATTTATATCATTAAAAATTTCAAAATAGATATTTACGGATATTTATAGGAATATCTGAATTGATTTTTTTACATGATAACGTTTAGAGATTTATTTTTCTTCTATTTTTACAAGGTTCATATTTTAGATTAATAACTTTTTCCGTCGAAATAGAAAAATCATAATGCTATATCGTTACAATACGTTAATATTTCAATCAATTTACTCGCTCTCTAATGTATATATATATATATATATATATATATATATATATTAACGTTGATTTAACGTATCAAATCTATATACAGTTATATACAAATGCTTTTTTTTCAATTATCTCATTTTTCCGTGGTCATGTGTTTTTATGGAATAAATAACGATTTGGTTGAATAGTTTTTTCATCTACTTTCATATTATTTTTATAAATGTTTAAATACTATTGTTTCCTGTTATTTTAAGCTATCATATACATTATCAATAATACTAAATTAGCAATAATGTTAAGTATTATAGGACATTATATTAATTTATCATATAGATAAAGAGTTTTCGTTACATGATTGTTTCCAATAAATAAAAGTTAAAAATACTATTTAGTAATTAATTATTTATGGTTTAATAAAAAAAATACGTGTATATATTAAAAAATGCATATATTAGAAATTATGAATATTTATTTCCTATCAATTAACTAAACACCTGTTTTGCAAATTATTAAATAAATTTTTAGTTTTATGGATTTCATATAGATGTTTTCTAATTTATTATATTGTTTTTAATGTAACTTATTCTTCAATAATTCATAAATATATTACAACTATTAAATATTTCTTCATACTTTAAGTGACTTAATACCTAATAAGAAAGGATGAAAATATCTTTTATATGGTTGATTCTTTTTT